GGTGATCTTTGAAGCACAAAAGTTCTTAATTTTGGTGAAGTATAATTTACCTATTTGTTCTTTTGTCACTTTTGCTTTAGATATCATAGCCAAGAAACCATTGTCTAACCCAAGATTATAAAGATTTACACCTATGTTTACTTCAAAGAGTTGTATAGTGTTAGCTCTTATACTTAGGTCTATGATTGCATTTTCTGTTAATTTTTGTGTTTGGCATAATGTAGCTTTCCAGTTGGATTTCTTTTGCGTATGGATGTCTAGTTGGAGTTTTTACAGAAACTCCAAACTCATTTTGCTTCTTCCAGGAGCTGCTATGCTGCTGCTTTTCTTTTTATTATTATTATTATTATTATTATTGTTATTATTATTATTACACTTTAAATTCTGGGGTACATGTGCACAATGTGTGGGTTTGTTACATATGTATACATGTGCCATGTTGGTGTGCTATGCTGCTGGTTTTTACAGCTATTGTAGTTTTGAGGCTGCTGGTCTTTAAGAATACCCTGGAGCTAGGGAGAGAGGTATGAGAATGAGACAGGTTAAACACTACAAAGCTCACTGTTCTTACAGAGATTCAGGCCTTTTTCTTTAGAACTCCTTGGATTATTGCAAGCCTTTAATTAATTTTCAAAGTTCTGAAAAAAATTGATTTTTACAATCTTAAACAGTGTTCTCATTGCTTTTATGGAGAAGCAGACTTTGGGAGCCCTTGCTCTGCCATTCTGTGAATGCTTTCAACATCTTCATTAGAAACTTATGAGAAATCCTGAGCCATATCCACTCAGCTAAGCTATTTCTGAAAATCTGACCCACAGGAAATATAAGAATAAATTTGTTGTTGTTGTTGTTACTGTTGTTGCTGTTGTTGTAGTTGTTATTGTTTTAAGCCACTAAATTTGGGAGTAATTTCTTTTGTTGAACAGATAACATGCCAAGAGATAGACACCAACGCTAGGACAAACAGATGAATTTTCAGATTATGGCTTCATATAGGGTGAAACTTCATGATCCTGAGGACTGTCAAATAATAGAGAAAGTAAAGACATTCAGTGGAGATGTGAGAGCAATAATGAAGAATTCTGTTAGAAGGGATACTGTCAAGGGGGCCCAGCATAACAAAAGTGAAGTACTGGGTCGTCTATAGAGTCCTTTCCAAAATGATGACAGTAATGATGATAACAACTTACATTTGCACAGAACTTTATAGTTTACTAAGAACTTCCATACAAATGATCTTCCCTAATCTTAATCCTAACCCTAAGAGGGAGATCAGGCAGGAGTATTATCCCTACTTTACAGATGAGAGAACAGAAACTCATAGAGGTACAAAGCCCTGTCCAAAGTCAACAACAATAAAGGGGTAGAGCTAGGATTTTTAACTCATGGAGGAATCCTCCTGATTCCAACTGGTGGTGACTCTTTCTCCATAGCATGCTGCCCATGTATGCTAAAGAATCTGGGTGTCCAGATTTCCCCATCTAGACACAGTATATAGATGTAGACTCTACTCAACCTGTGGGCTTCCTGAAAACCCAGTTCCAGCCTTAATCCCATCCTAGGGCCTAGAGATAAAGGAAGATTGCAGGCAATATGTGTGCTTTAGGCCAAGAAAATCCTGACTTTTAATCAATCAGCCACCCCCATTCCAACCTGATCTGTGTGACCTGAGCTAACTTGTGGCTGCACCTGACTAGTGAGGACTTTATGCCCATGGCCTCAATCATGAAGGCCTAAGGCCACATAGCTGGTCAATGTCCTGCCCAGTATAGTAGTTGTCTTGTACAGAGTGTAGGTAGAGAGTCAGCAGAGTGAAAGTTACTATGGGAAAACCATGGGGCAGAGTCAAGGGCTGGTGTGGAAGGTGGAGACTCTTCTACCTTTCCCTGGATCACACTTCTGGCCACAGCCTTTGGTCCCATGTCTAGAAACCGTCAACTATGCTGACTCCTTTCTTTATAGACCTCCTGTGATTTTAACAGTCTGCTGCAGTTGATTCAGCTCTGCACCAACTTCTGAATAACTCTGTCTTCCTTCATCTAAGGCCTGGGACAGGTAGTTCCCTGAATATCTCTATCTTCCTTACTCTGAAGCCTGGGACACAATCTACTTCCCTTTCTCCAGGTGCTGCCATCTCCTACTCCACCCTTCCTGGTTCTTTCTGAAACAAGGCTCCAAGGAGGGATATTATTTGCCTCTACCTATAACCCCCTTACTTTCCCCTTCTCTAAAACAAGTCTCATAAATCCTGTTACTTGATGGTTTGCTTTAGGCCCAAAGTAATACTGGTTGCTTTTCAGAGGAATAAGGAAGGATGTAGACTTTTCTACCTATGCTATTATTCTCAGTTTGGCCCCATCCTAACCTTACCCAGATCCAATCTCTACTCTTCTCTAACCTGCTCTCTTCTCAAGTGGCTGGTTCCAGAGGATTTCATAACTGGCTCTCACCAGAGTACTAGCCAATGGGAGGCACTGGAAGGAGGTCAGAAGGTGAGAAGAGATGGTCTGGGTATTTCTGTCCTGCTGCCTCCCTGCCCAGACTCCATGTCCCTCACAGCAGCTGAGTCCCTATGGCTCCCACCAGATAAGCCCCTCTGCCACAACTGCAGCTCTCAGCGGACTTTGGTAACACTATTATCTCACTTGACCCTTCTGCCCTTAGCATGGTAAGGGCTTACCTTGGTGGTTAGTCTCTGGGCAACTCAGCATCCCTCAATAGCTCCCTTAACTCTGCATTCAAGTCTCCAAGTAGTCTCTTTACTAAAACTTTATTATTTGAACCACCCGAGTTAAACTCTGTTTCCTACTAGGCCCCTGGCTGATATATATGCACTTTCACAATAAAGGTTGCAGTGTAGGAATGTTCAACGTTATATATTATCTGAAGAGCTACTCTCCTTTAATCTCTTCCAGTTCTGTGATATTAGTGACCAACTAGCCTGATATTGAGGAATGGGCAGAACTTTGACCTTGAACACAAAAGGCTACGATTTAGTCTTCATTCTGTATGCTTTGGGGAAAAATCACGTGCTTCCCCTCAACACAGGCCTCAGTTTCCTCACTATAAAATTAGTATTAAACTAGATCAGTGATTCTCAAAGTAGGGCCCCTGATCTCTGGGGATTCCTAAGACACATTCAGGAGTTCTGTGAGGTCAAAACTATTTTTATAAAAATACTAAGAAGTTATTTACGTTTCTCCACTTATTGACATTTGCACTAATGGTGCAAAAGCAATGGTAAGTAAAATTGCACCTTAATATGATCAAGGCAGTGGCACCAAACTGTACTTATAGTTATTGTATTCTTCACTGCCACACACTTAAATTTTTAAAATGCCAATTCCACTTAGGAATATCCTTGATGAAGCAGTAAAAATTATTAAGTGTATTAAATTCTGACCCCTGGTACATGCCATTTTAACTATTCTGAGTGATATGAAAACTGCACTTCAGGCATTTCTACTGTATGCCAAAGCAGAATGCATGTCAGTTTCAAGAGAAAGCAGTACTTGTGTGATTGTCTGGCCTGCTGTATGAACTAGTTGCTTTTTCCATGGAACACTACCTTTACTTGAAAGAATAATCGACAAATTGTGGTTATTGAGACTGAGGTGTTTGGCAGATATTTTCTCAAAAATGAACAAAGTGAGTCCATCTCTCCAAGGGAAGCAACTGACAGTGTTTGTTGCCAATGACAAAATTTATGCTTCCAAGCTTGATAGCTTCCCAATATTTAAAAACTTTTCTGATGAGATCATAATATTAACAAAAGTTATTTGTTGATATCATATAATGGAAGTTGCCAATATCTTAGCATAACTCAGTGATATATATATACCTTATTTCTAAAAATGGAAGCTTTGTACAAGGACTCAGAAGACCTTGGTTTGAATCCAGGGTCTGCCATTTTCTTGCTACTTCAGCTCCGTTGCTGCATCTGTAAAATGAGTTTGCTCTGTTTCTTCCCTGTAAAATGGGTATATAGTAATAAATGTTAATATCTATACCGAGAATTATATAAAACAAATCCATGGCACCTGGTTAATGTTGCACAAGGGTTTTCTATCATGATAATAATCATCATCATCACATTAGGTGGGAGGACCTAGACATTACCTCTCTATACAGCATATGACTTCAGCACAAAGGCTTTGGTAATAGATATTGCCAGATTCAAATCCTAGCACCACTTACTAGCTAGTGACCTTGGACAAATAATTTAATAATCTGATCATAGGTAATAACATATATGAATATACTAATTAATACTTACGTGATTATTGTGAGGAATAAATTAAATAATGCACATTACATGCTTCGCCTATGACTTGGTTCATTAGATTAACTCACTTAAACTAGTAATTGGGAATTTAAGAAATGTTTCTTGAAACATTATTATAATCATGATTTTACACAATTATATCATGTAAATTATATCATAATATGATGGCATTAATATTTTCAGAAGGATCCTCAGATTTTTGTGATATTTTCAAGCAGTGATATTGGTAAACCAGCTCTCTAGAAAAAAAAAAAAAAGCAAAAACTGTGCTTTATAGCATCTGCGAATTTCTGTGGTGTAAATACTCCCACTATGGCCAATTTCAACATGAGGGCTCATGGGGTAGCTCATGGCTACCAACACAAGGTCACTGAGTGCAGAGTTGGGAAGAAATTCCCACAGTTGTCCCTTGTGAGTGGGCATGAGCTGGCTTCAGCACACCACTGCTCTCAAGTATAGTTTTGAGGAGGAATCATTCAATAAGCCTCATAGATTCTATTCACCAGGAGGTGAACAAGAGGTTACACAAAAGAAAAGAAGCCAAAGGAAGCAGGGTTTCTGGTGCCTTTGGAAGTATTTTTGAAAGTCACTTTGGTTTCTCACTAAATCAATCAGAGCTTAACCTATTTATACACCTGTGAAAATAAGACAATTCGATATGTACTTTTAATGGTTGGAAAAGTTTTTGGGGAATGAAACCTTGGGAAGCAAGAACTTAGTTTAAAACACAACTTAATAAGAAAATCTGGGATATATATAATGCCATTTATTGAAGAAAAAGAAACTTTTTTCCAATATATTCTACCCAATTATGGAATTCATGTTAGATTTTTGGGAAGAGCAAATGTAGCTTTAAAAAAAAAACTCTGCTAGGCAGTTGAAATACTCTGGTTCCGAAGTTTTAAAAAATGAGGCAAGATTATATAGTGAGAGTAGAAAAAATAAGATGAAGTGGAATCACCCATGACAATCTGTCATATTAGCCATTATGAATTTCAACATCTGCAACTGAAAAGCTACAGAAGTCAAAAAATAAAAAACAAAGAAGATTCCCAAGGACCACAGACTGTTTGATGATGTTGCTCTAAGATTTCGCCCTCCGTTTATTTCACACAAAAATAAGTTAAGTATAAATAAGATGAGGAGAGCTTGTGTGTACTCAGGTGTGTTCACTGGTGTGTACTCAGAGGGGGCTTGAGAACAGCCAAATGTCTTTCTTCTCCCACACCCACTACACAAAACTCTCCTCCATGTTGCTGCAGAGTAAGAAGGAATCCACAAGCCGAGGCTGGACCAACTGCTGAAAGTCAGAGTCCTGGAGGCCTTCGGGGCAGACCCCAGCCAATCTACGCAGAGCAGCCTGGGGAGAAGACAGAAGAGGTGACACATATCAGACTGGGCCATGTCAGGTACGTGTATTTCCTTCACCTACCCTGAAATGTGCATTTCAGGAAGTGGTGCATTTACCAGACAATTTGGGCTGATCATCATGTTGGCCACTTGGCACCCCAGCAACCATCTTGGTCCCCTGGTCAACATAGCAACCACATCTCTTGTTCACCTGGCTTTATTTACACCTTGATCACTAAGATAGATGTCATCTGAAAGCTGTTAATAATCTTAGTAATGGTCTTTACTGTTTCCAGATCCCTAAAGTAAATTTAGAATAGCAAGAACTATTCATTCATCCATAAATTCAGCAAGGTCCTATAGAAAGCACTATGGAAAAAAGAAGAAAAGAGAGGGAGAACATATTGTAAAAGTAGATAGGGATTCTGCTACGGAGAAATTCAACATCTGGCAAGGGGGATGAACAGGAAAGAGAGGTGCTGGCAGAATAAAATCACTCCCCAGCTCCCCACACAATAAGCAATGACTATGCTATTTCTGTTTTATGTCCATGTGTCCTTGCTCATATTCTTAATCTGCAATCCAATGCTCTACTTCTGAGCTATACCCCCTCCTCCTTGCTCATACTCTTACTTGTGACTCGAAGTGACTTCCTGCTCTTGCCTATTGTTACCACCCCCATGAAGCCTTCCCCAATTACCCTGAAGCAGAGACAGTCCATCCCTCCCTCCTCTGTGCAACCAGGGCCCCTGGGCGGACCTCAAGTTTCTCACACTTGACTGTAACTAGCTTTTAGGTATTTATCTCTCACAATAGACTCTGAGCTCCTCGAGAGTAAGGATCTTGTTTTCTATTTCTCTGTATCTGTAGCAGACAACACAGAGGTTGGCACAGGGCTCAATAAATGTTGACTGAAAAGAAATGAATAAACGAAGTGCTTTAATACTGAGATCTGCTGATAGTGCAACCTGAAACTAAATGTGAGCTGTGCACCTACCTAGACCTGTTTACCAGTTAACTGAGGCAATGCATGTTAAGTGTTTAATAAATATTAATTTCTTCCCTCTTCCTGGGCATATACACAGCAGGGAACAAGGTACCTCTCTTCTCCCACCTCTGGAAGCAAAAAAGTGGGGGAATATCTAGAATGGCAAAAGAAGCAAAGAAGGAGGGAATGCAAACACTGAGGATCTCCCCATAGCACCTCACTTAATCCCTACATGATGTTGCAAGCTAAGTGTCATGATCTCCATTTTGGAAATAAGGAAACTAGGGCTCAGAGGGGGAAAGTGGCCTTCCAGACATCACACAGGAGTCGGACTCCAGGGCACTCAGACCTACACACACAGGTAGGATGCTGCAACCCCAGGATTCAAGGTTATATTGAGCATAAGGCAGGGGTACTGCTCATTACCTGGACATGGCAGGTAGCCTGTTGCTGAGAAATCAGGCCAAAAAAGTGAAAAGAGTGGATAGTTTGAGCTGGTTGCTGGGAGTCACAGGTGCTGTCATGTCCAGGCAGGGTCAAAGAGAAGGAGCGTGTGTCTCTGTGCATTAATGAGCAGGGTCTGTGACTCTAGCAATGGGAAGTAGACTCCCCAGAACTGCCTCCAACTAGCACATCTTGACTCTCATGGGGGATAGTTTACCCCACGGGCTAACGAGGGTAAACTTCATAGCACTTTCTGATTCTCCTTGGCTCCAACAGGGAAAGATAACCCCATTGCCCTTGAGTTTTCACCATGAAAACAGAATCAGGGATTTTCTGAAGATGAGGAAATAAGGCCACCAGTGCATTTTTGCATCATTAGGGATAAAAAATAAAGCAAGAAGGGAGACAAGGAGACACAGAGAAATAGAACATAGACTTATCAAGAGAGCAAATAAGACAGAAAAGGGAAATAGCAAAAAAAAAAAAAAAAAAAAAAAACCCAGAGAAAAAGAGACAACAGAGAAAAAAGAACAAGAAGGAAATATTAAAACAGACAGTGATGAACTTGGTGGAGAAAAAAGACCAAGTATAAAAAAGAGATGGAGAAAAAAAGAGAAATCATGGCAAAGAAAATAAAAGAGAGAGCCCTTAGGAGGAGGGGAGATAGTAGGAGAGAGATAGGGTGAGGTAAGGAGGCAGAGAGAAAAAGGAAGGAGTAGAGAGGGACAGAAAGGAGTTATGGTGATAAAAAGAGGGGAGGGAGGGAAAGGAGAAAGAGAAACTGCTGAGAAGGCAAACCCTAGAAAGAGAGCAAAGTAGAAACCAAAACACAGCAGAGAACAACAGAGAGAGAAGAGACACCCTTACCTCCCCACGGTCCCCAGAAAGTCTACAGGACATGAACCCTACCGTAGCTCAGAGCACCCCCTCCTCAGTGTGCAGCAGCCTCAAAGGACCCTGCACTCTTGCCAAACCTTCTCTCAGCCTCTGCTTCTCTGGGAGGGTTAAACAGTTAGTCATCCTAGAATCTCATTCCCAGATAGCCTGAAAGCACCCAAGCATTAAACAAGCCTGGCAACCTACTGACAGCTGCTTCATTCAGGAAAAAACCATTCTGTTTGGGAGAGATGATCTGCACTGCCACCTTCCCAGACAGGGGAGACAATAAGTGAACCTTCCTCCCTCTGCCTGAAGGGAGCCTCTGAAGCTGGAAAGGTCTTGGGGAAGAACACGAATGGTGGCTTCTAACTCCACCTGCCAGGCTAGACTTCAAGTGAATCTCACCAGCCAGGAGACCACACTCAAATGTTGGAACATTCCTAGGGACAACCCATGGACACCCCCAAGACTGGGAGCTAGGAAAAGGGGAAGCAAGTCTATCAGTCCCCAAGTCAATTAATACATAGTCACCAAACTCAACGTCCCATGGATATACAAAAAGCTGGAAAAAGTCCCCTGCCCTGGGAAGCTTCCAGGCTAGAGGGGGAAAAATACAAATCCTCCTCCATGAGTCAATGCTGGAGACCAGTGCTATAAGAGATGGGGAGAGAAAGAGCATGGCTTGGAACAAGACGGTCTGGTTGAAAAGTGCAGCCTCTAGAATCAGGCAGGCCTGTGTCTGAATTCCAAGAGCCTCCCCTTACAACACCTGGGACAAAGATAATGGAACCTGCCTTGGACTGAGTCAAACAAAATCCAAGAGAGGAGGCTCAGGTTCATGCTGTTTATTCTCTGGCTTTGCACCACACAGAGCTCCTGGAAAATTTTGTGAAGGAGAGAGATTTACATCTAAGCTTGGAAGGATTGGCAAATTTTTAATAAACAGAGTTATAGAGAAAACATTTGCTGGGAGCAAGGGTCAAGGCACACAGTTCAGGGTGCTCTGGCTTAGCCCAGGTGGACAGGGCCTGGAGACAGTGGGAGGTCTGCAGGCTCTAGGGATGGGTCAGAGCCAGACTGAGAAGGGCTGAACAGGTGGACAGTGGCCCAGAAATAACGGGGAACCATGGAAAGGTTCAATGGAGATTTCATGAAAGTGTCATGATTATAAACTGTCATTAGGAAAATTAACTCAGAAGCCACACGGAGAATGGATTAGGGAGGGAGGGGTTCTCTTCAGCATCCACCAACTCATCCACAGAACAAATATAATCCCTTTTCGGCTTGAAAGTCCTTAAAGTGATTAAAGATAGTAGCCAAGCTCTTCTGTGTGCTCTCCTTCACACTAATAAAAATGATAGCAGTAATAATCACAAGCCCTCATATCTGAACGGAGCTTTATAGTTTCCCAAGTGCTTTCAATGCTACCAACATTTCTTCAGGGTCTATTTAGAGTCAGGCAGTGGTAGTTGGGGTCAATCATTACATGTTAATTTCCTCTCACTTCACTTGCTAGAACAGGTGGAATTAAGAGGATCTGTGAATTTGAATGAGAAAAAGTTACATCTTTATTTTCACCAACCTGTAACTGAAACTTAGCATTTCCTTCTATTGCAATGTGAATGCAGCAACAAACCATGGTGTCTTCACAATCCCTGTGACTTGTGATTTCCCAGTAGAAATTACAGATACTTTCACAGCCCATGAAAGTTGTTGAAAATATTTTCAAATACCATTTATGGTCTTCACGAGTCAAGATGACAATACTTACTAGACTTACTGCTAGGTCTTATTTAATGTGTTGACTAAAAAGCAAATATATTAATATATCACATATTTTAATAGTTTAATAATTTTAAATATAATTGGTTTTGGTTTTAATTCTATATATTTTATTTGTATTTTTGCATTTAAAAGATTATTCTGAAAAGGGGTCTGTAAGCTTCACCAGACCACCAAAGGCACAAGAAGATTAAGATTGCCTTGAACGTACCAAAATAAAAGCCACAGAAGGGGAGAGTTTTGTCTTTTTTAACTGCAGCTGTATCCCCATAGCCTAGAACAGTGAATGGAACACAGAATCAATCCGTAAACATTTATTGAATAAAATGTATAGCATTGAGTGACTTATCAAATGTCACACAGCTCATTAATGGTACGACCAAAACAGGTCTGATTGACTGTAATGCCCTACTGTTTCTACAACTGCAAAACGTCCATCAGAAACTCCCAGAAAAGAGACAAGCTCAGCTCAAAACGGGCTGAGGAGAGGACTTTACTGTGAGACAGCTTGAAGGATCTTTAAATCCATCACTTCCCCCTTGTGTTCTTTGATCACAAGAGCCAGCACTTTCTTCTGGAATGTAAGGGTTCTGTTTATAGAGTGGCTTCCCTGCTCCTAAATGTTTTCAAATGGAAGCTACTCTACTTTGGGAGCCCTTACAGCCCTAGTAGGGAAGAATATATAGACGAAGTGTGCATTCTCTGTCTGGTACTATTGATTATTTCATGATGGACCCCTAGCAAAAAGAAGTTGGGTGGGGACTTCCTAGGATACACTTGCTTGTGTTCAAGGTGAGGATCCAGGTTACTGCTGAATAGTCCACTCTGTCTTGTTGTGTTCCTTCTCGTTCTGTTCCACAAAGGTGGAGGGAGCTACAATGCTGGAAGAGTGCCACCAGATGGGCTCCCTGTAGGGATAAGTGGAGGTTTTTCTCCCTTTATTCCCTTTGGAATAGGCAGGGGATATCCTTATCCTAGCTCCCATGTTCTGCAGGCACCATGACATAGACAACACCAACTAGCATTCCACGGGAATCTCAAAGGTTCCTGTTCCTAAAACTGTAGTGGTAGAACAGAGGGAAGAGGGAGTTTCTCAGCCATCATCTTTCACACATATTACCTCATAAAATTTTCATCACAATTTTATGAATTAAGTGAAACAAATATTATACTGATCACAATCCTAAAGAGAAAAGCTAAAGCCCAGAGAGGTTTTACAGCTTACTGAAGCCAGCCACAGCACAGCCAGTTCTCCTGGCCCCCTTGTCTGCATCCTGAAGGCCAGGGGAAAAGCTGGGGGAAGACTGAGAACTCACCAGGCAGGCCACGAGCACGGCATCACTGCTGTTCCTTTCTGATGGGGATCTGCAGAGCTCGATGAGACGGGGCATGCCTGTAGGAGACACAGGGAGAGCCTCAAGCCCAGGATGGGGCCCAGTCGGGCCTGACCCAGAGGTTCTGGGCCTCCCTTGCACACCCAATCTGCCAGAGAAGGGGGCTGAACCCACCTCGGGGAGTCTGTGGTGGAAACTTTCTACTCCCTCAGTGGTGAGCAGAGCATGGTTAGGGTCAGGCCAAGCTGAGGCATCCAAGCCAAATCCACAGATGTGGGTTAACATTTGAATCTTTACCAGACAAAATTCCTAGCTGTGTCTTTTTTTCTCAAGTGCCAATTTCAGCCAGAAAACATACTGTGGCTAAAATAACATAAAACTATAGACTCTACTAATATTACCTAGGGCTTTACTGAGCAGAGTTAAGTGAATGACTTAGCTTTGCAATGCAGACTGACTTCTTTCAAACTTTAAGAAAAAAAAAAAAAAAACCCCTCATTATATGATAGCAGTAGAAGGTATGCAAATGCAGTCTGTGTGTCCATCCTCTGTAAGGTCTTGAAGGAGCAGGAACCCTCTGCTGCCCCAGGCTGTCCCTCTGGGTACCTGGAGGATTGGTGACACTGCCATGCCTTTTCTCACGCTTCTTCCTGAAAAGCCCTTTCTCAGTCTTCACATGGGAGTAACTTTTACTTACTTTTTCAAACCACAGCAGAGGACTCGCCCCCTTGTTAAAACATTCTTTGACTCACCCAGATAAACGTGGGCTACTTCTTGTGCATGCCAAATGCACCATGGACATGCTTTGAGTGTCACTCCCATGATACTGAAGTGAGAATATCCCTTTTTTTATTTGTCACCTCCATGAGGCTGTGAGCCCCTGTGGTCAGGACAATGTCACATCCAGTGTTACATGCCCAGCACTCAGAACAGAGCTTAGCATAGGGTGGGTGCTCTGAAAATATTTGTTGGGTAAATAAGTGACTAACTGAATGAATGAGCATGTTAATGAGTGAATTAATGGATGAGTTAATAGTGAATAATGAAGTCATGAATGGGTTAATGAATAAATGAACTAAAGGATAAATTAATGAGTAAATGAACGTGTAGATAAGTAAACAAACGAGTATATGAATAACTGAGCAAGTGAATAAATGAATGAGTGAATGAAATAATGGGGTTCTTATGAACAGTCTGCAGGTGAGTCACTATTCTGGCCAACTTTTACCACTCTAAGTCCTTTCTCCCTCTTGCTTCAGCCCCAGGTTACAAACTAGACTAGGGGCTGCACCCCTGAGCCTCCACCCCAGCATTTTCTAGCCCCCAGAGATAGGGCTTATGCCAGCCAGTCCTTGCCCTGTGTCCACTGTTGCCACCATGAAATCAGAGCTGCTCCCGCCCCCAATCCCCCCACTCCACTCCAGTCACAGCCAGCAAGCACCACTCACAGCTGAGCCGCACAGCCTCCCGTGCCACATCTGGGTCTCGGCTGAGACGAGCCAGGGTCACTGCAGCTTTCTGCTGGACTCGCTCACAGGCTGCCACCTCAGCAGGGGTCCCAGACCTTGGCTTTTCGGACAGCATGCCCATGATGAGCTGGACCCCTAGGCAGGAAGCAAGGAACAGTTGGTACCTACCCCCAGCATGGAGCCTTCCCCATGGGGCCAGCTGGACAGGTGGCTGCAGGGTGCAAGCAAAGGCTGTCAGGATGACTTCAGGGGTCTCACCCACAGGGCAGAAGCTGGACAAGGCTATTTCTCCATGCCTTCTACTCCTGAGGGTGTCTTTATGTACCAAGTCACCATACTTGGGAGGAACATCTGAAGACATCTTTATTTTTTTAGTGCTATTATTGAGCTTTTACTCAACACTGTGCTAAATGCATAGTAAATGCATAATGCCCTAAAACCTTCTAGTAGCCTCATGTATTTGGTACCATTATAATTCCATTTTGAAGCCCAGAGAGAAGTGAAGTGTCTTGCCCAGTGTCACATGGTTAGTAGTTGAGGGAGCTGCTACTACAATTCAGAAGTAGCATTACATTTAGGATTAAGAAAACAAAAACGAAAGAAACTCAGATAACTGGTTTCTCTAAATCACCTCTTCACTTCCGATACTGGCTGCATCTGAGACAGGTCCAGTAGTGATGAATCCCCCAGGTAAGAGGTGATCCAAACCTAAGCTGGATAATGACTAGATCAAATGTTTTAGAGTGTACGCAAGCTGGAAAAGGGTGCAGTAGTTAGACTGAGAGATTTCGACCTGAATAATCTCTGCTGAGAAGTCTCCTACCTCCCCCTGAAATCAGATTTGTCTTCTGATTGTTCTAGAAACCACACACATATCCACTCATACCTCCTTGCCTTTACCCAGTCTTTCTTTCTACAAGGGATGCCGTTTTCCCTCTTGATGCTCCATCTAAAAAACTCCATCCTGCAGGTTGTAGTAAAAGTTCATCTTCTGTGTGAGCTGTTGCCCAACTGCCCATCCCACACTCCCCTCTTCTGCACCCAGTGGCTCCTGCAGCTTAGAACTTAAGCCAGACATTACCCAAGAACATAGTTTTGCTTCATTTTGTTGCTCCACACAGCATCTACAATTTTTTAGATTTTTGATAGTGTGCTAATTGGAGGATTTCTATAAAAATCTAGATTTCTGACTTCTGAAACTGCCTCCTGAATTTTAACCCTAGGCCCTCATTTCTGGACAACAAATTTTTAAAGCTTATTATGAGTTCCTTCTTTAAAAGAGATTGATCCTGTCTCTGGTGAATTCACCTCATCCATTTACATTACCTGTCTGAATTGTGTAGACATCTAAGTTTGCAACCTGTGATTTAGACCACGGACTCTCAAAGCCCAGCCTGTATGTACAACAAGATTTGCCCTGTCCAGACCTAAGAGGCCTGTCTTCCAGTAGACCCCAGTTGCACTGACACCTTTGTTGATTCCTCAAATCCTGCCCTGCTTTGGAAAATAGCTCCTTCATTAAACTCTCTTCAGGTAAACCCCGTGAGACTGCCACTGTTTCCTGAAAGAGCAGAGGGTCTTAGCACAGTGCTCGTTCTATGCCAGACAATCTTCTAACATGCTTCATGTTAATCCTCACAACATCCTTATGAGGTAGGGATTATTTTTATTTTGCTGATGAAAAAACTGAGAGGTCATATGGTTAGTAAACACAGTGCCAGGATTCAAACCCACAGAGTATGGTTCCAGTTTTCAAACTCAATCACCATGACAACCTCCCTCTGTTGCATTATTCTATTGTAGATGTTATATTTCTATCATATGTCACTTTTGTTAAGTTGTGCTCTCTGTCTAGACTGTGAGACCCTCTAGGACGAAGGCAGGGATTTAGTTATCTCTGTTCTCATTGTCTAGCACAATGCCAGGCACATATTAGGTCTCAATAACTGTTTACTGAGCGAGTCAGTCAATAGCACTTTGTGAACCATAAAACCCTCTACAGATGCCAGATATTCCAATCTCAAATTCACAGGCCTTTGGAGACCCACTCCCATTGAACACTTCAACATAAGGCTCTATAAGTGCCGAAAGAACAGGGCACAGATGCTATAGCTCAGCTTCATGGCCTCAGCTGGCTCAGCAAAGTTTCTCATTATTAGCTCAATCACATAAAATTAACACAAAATGATGTCCTTCAATTAGTAACAGAGCAATGGGGGATGGGAAAGTGTATGTTTGTTAAGACAGCAGGGAAGCCTGGGAGAAGGGGGTTTAGCAAGAGCAGAGGCAGCCGGCCCAGGCTCCCAGCTCACTCCGCCTCATTAGCGTCTCTGGTTTCCAACCGGTTGCTAATTGCTGCCTTATTTCCCAGTCACAGGAAGCCCTCACCATCTCTGCTCCCAGCTGCAAGGCAGCCGCCTTGTCCGTTGGCAGAAACGGCTTCGATCAGCTCCCAGGCCAATGAAACCTGGCCCACCCCACCTGGACCTTGGTGACATGTTCAGCACCAGATGGAACAAGGGAGCAAGTGGGAGAAGAGATGCTCTCAGTGAGGGCTCAAGACATTCAGGTTGTCCTGACTGGCTCTACCACTCACCCCTTCCTCAGCTTTCTACTGCAGCCAAATCCAATAAGATAGGAACAATTTAAAGTTGGAATGTATCCCTTGGTAGGAATAGATTTTTTTTATTTGGTGATCATAATGAAATATTTGCCTTCTCCTCACCACCTTATTAAAATACTAACCATCACCACCCCACCCTGATACTACCTTACTCTTCTTCCCTGCTTCATTTTCCCCAGGGCACTGTCACACTATCATCACTGGACATTTGCTATCTTCTTATACATTATCTGTCTTCCACTAGAATTTAGGCCTCACAAAAGTAAACAAATATTCACATATATAGGCCCAGTTGCCCACATACAAGCACACACATATATGCTCATGCAAGCGTGGAGACACATGTACCTATTTTTTTTTTTTTCTTTTTTGAGACAGAGTCTCGCTCTGTCGCCCAGGCTGGAGTGCAATGGCGTGATCTCAGTCCACTGCAACCTCCGCCTCCCAGGTTCAAGCGATTCTCCTGCCTCAGCCTCCTGAGTAGTTAAGATTACAGGCACCCACCACCACACCCAGCTAATTTCTGTATTTTTAGTAGAGACGGGGTTTCACCATGTCGGTCAGGCTGGTCTCGAACTCCTTACCTCAGTTGATCCACCCACCTCTGCTTCCCAAAGTGCTGGGATTACAGGCACGATCCCTGCGCCCGGCTACATGTACCTATTTACATACCCGCACAGGCATTCACACAAGCACAAAGACCAGTCTGCTACATCCAGATAATTCACATAACATGTACAATGCTGCAAAGACATACCATTCTCCTGAATGATGTCAGAGGCACACTGCTCTAGGACAGACATGTTTGCCAAGATGGTCACAATCTGGAAAAGAGAATTTAGAAACTGAGAAAATGAGCACACCTGACCTTAATGGTACTCCCTACAGACAGGTCAGACACGGGCTACAAAGCTTCCTTTTATCCCATGACTCCTTCCTGTCCACCAGGCCTATCCTTCCAAGGCATTTGCTTCCATCCTCATGGGCTCCTGCCACCCAGATGTATTTCCCCGGTGACTAATACCCATTTATCAGCCTACGGCTATAGCATGGCTCCCAAGGGCCCCAGGACACCCTGGAAAGACTAGCATAGCCCTGGGTGAAGTTGGGGCCCAGCTGTCTTTCTGCTCTGGTCCCCAGTCCTGAAATGCAGACAGAACAAGCAGGTCCCTGGCCCCTCAAACTCCTCTGTGCTGGCTTGTCCTCGAGAGCTAGCTCTTACTCTGGATTGAGTTCTTCCATCCCAGCTTCTTTCCTGAATACTAACCCTCACCTACTTTCAACCTGCGATGAATGAAGGCTAAGGTCACGTTAGAGGGCATCAGTAGGAAGGGGCAGCATTATCAAGCATTGGGTATTATATGGAATCTGATGAGAAAGTGCATACTCAGCTGCACGTTACAAGTCTGTGGCAAGCCTCACTTATCAGTCATCGCTGAAAGTCTCTGCCTGTAGGAAAGCGGTATTGACACCAGGTGGACAGTGAGTCTCAGTTACAGCTTTATGGGTTGTAACCAGCCTCACCTGAAACCCCTGGTACAGTCAAGGGAGAAAAGAACTCACAAGCACAAACTGGATTAAGGAATGGGCTGACAGAGGACTCATTCCGGAGACCCCAAACTGCAAAAGGGTGCCAAGATGCTACTAGAATAGATTGGAAACATGGCACCCATTAACTCAGACACCACCCACCACACTGCTCCTGACATAAATAGCACGAAGAAAATTCACCCACTTTCACAGAAATGGACAGCGCTCTCAACTGGTAATTAAAATAAATCATTAAACTAAATTAAAAAACAATTCTCACTGACACAAGCCTCTGTCTCTTGAAAGGTTTCTTCAAAGCTTGCAGGATGGTATAAGCAAAGGTTGTGCCCCTACCCCCTCCTCTGAGACAGCAGTTGACAGTCCACTGAGTACAAGTCAGGCAGCTAAAATGCTGAAACTGGATAGTAATGTGATGTCTACCGAGAAAGAGTATTATCTACATTTTAATCACTCTGGATAACAAATATTGCTATTTTACTCTGGATAACAAATATATTTAAAAATGTCTTCTTTTACACAGAAAGGAAAAACTTTACCATATTAGTAGAATATCTCTCTCTCTCCTTTCCTTCTAAACACATGTTGGAAGGGGATTCCACATTCTTAGGTTGCTGCAGCATGTGTGTGTGTGACAACCCCTTCCAGCTCAGACCCCATCAGGGGCCTGGTTGGATGAGCATGACTACAGTGGGCTGCCAGAGGAAGGACAGGAGAACACTCCAGAACCTTTATCCTGAAAGCAACTCTGTACCACCAGGTGTTTTATGATGGGGGTGACAAGCTCCTATTTGCAGTTAAGAAGATAATAGGACTAAAGGAGGTTTAGGACCTAGAGGCTCTTTTACTTATTTATTTACTTATCTTTGTACTTTTTAAGATTGTGTTTGTGGGCTCAGTGGAAGGAGTTAGAGGAAAAAGCTGGGTTGGAAAGTTCCCCAAGAGGCATCGTGTGCACATTCTTATGAGGGAGGAGGTACACGACCCAGTCCATGTCAGTTTAGAGTTTATTTGGCTATCTCTGGGCTGTTAGCAGGAAGTATGGACTCTGTTTCCACCACACAGGGGCTGTGACGTCCCACCATCACCAGGCTGGCCTCTCTGAATAAAAACACTTACTTGACATGCAGATCCATGAAGGAAGGAGGGAAGGAAGGAGGAAGGGAGGAAAAGGAAGGAAGGAAGGACAAACTAGGAAAAGAAAAGGAAACCTTTGTCTGTGGCAACGGGTTCATTACACAGTAATTATTAGCCATGTCACAAGCACCATGTAGGTCTTTGTGTCAGACTAATTTAGATCCTGTTAATGAAAATTACTTCCTCTTTACAGAGCCTGTACCTCATGTGGTTTTCTGGAGGTGCAGATGAAGTATTCAATTAAGTACAATTTGAATAAATGCCAATTATGCCCTGCTTTGAGTCCCCCTTGTAAAACATCCTTTTGTGCACCGTAACATAGAAGGGAAAGAGGTCAATGTTTATCCTCACAGTCAAGTCCATGGGTGGGATTTTAGGGACAACTGTTTTACCTGGTTGGATACAAGTTAGCAATGCTGTCAGCGGGCAGAGTGCAGGAGCCAGGCAGACAGTTTCCCCAGCCCAGGCTAATTCAGTCTCGCCTGATGATGTTCAATTAAGTTCTATTCCACCTAAGTGAAAGGGCACCATTCCCTCTGCAGTTGTTTGGTGAATCCAGAGGACATCACCCTTGAGAGAGGTCCTAGGTAAGAGGTCAGTATAATGTAATAGCTAAGCATGTAGCTCAACCTACGTCTAAATCCTGGCTCTATCACATTTTACTATGATCTTGGCCATGTTACCTAACCTTCTGTGCCTTGGTGTATTCATTTTCTATTGCTGCTATAACAAATTATTGCAAACTTAGTGGCTTAAAATGACATGATTTTATCTTGTAGTTCTAGAGGTCAGAAGTTCTAAATGAGTCTTACATAGCAAAAATCAAGGTGTTGAGAGATCTTCATTTATTCTGGGGGCTCTAGGGGAAAATCAATTTCCTAGTTTCTATTTTCCAGCTTCTGGAGGCTGCTCTCATTCTTTGGCTCGGGGGAGTATATCCTTCTGACCTTTGCTTCCTTAATCATGTTTGATTCTCTGACTCTGACTCTCTTCCCTCCCTCTTACAAGAACTTCTGTGATGACACTGAATTTACCTGGATAATCAAGGATAATATTCCTATGTCAAGATCTTAACTCAATCGCATCTAGAAAATCCCTATCGCTATATAAAGTAACTTATTCACAGACTTTGAGGATTATCATGTGGACATCCTTGGGGGCCCTACCATAAGAAATAAAAATAATTCAGCCAGGCACCATAGCTCATGCCTTTAATCCCAGCTACTCTAGAGGCTAAGGCAGGAGGATCACTTAAAGCCAGGAGTTTGAGATCAGCCTGAGCAATATAACAAGACTCCGTCTCTAAATACGTAAATAAATAAAAGGTATCTTTTAAGACCCGTATGGGCATTCAATGAGTTAATATCAAGCACCCTTTGTTAAATAAAATAAATATGGTTTTCTCTGGGCAGGAGAACCTGAAAGGACCCAAGCCTTGACAGACTGTGTCAAGAAACACTAGCCAAGTAATATGCAGCACTCGGTGGGGCTGAGCATCCGTGTGGCCAAGACACGCTGCTAATGTGAGATCCCTCCCAAAGGGGAGCCTGTACCAGAGCAGGTCAACCCTTCCCATCAGAGGAACAGCAAAGTGTGTATTCACTACCTTCTCTGGCATTTTCAATTTTTTTTTCTTTGGTCTCCAAAGACATGAAAATTGAGGCAGACAGGAAATTGATCCAGGATAGCAGGGGACCTCCCATGTCACTGATTCAAGAAGAAATGTCCCTGTGTGGTAGGAAGGAGGTTAGTGAGGCCTTTTGATGTCAGCACACACGGAGGAGAAACACTTGTCTGCAGGCCGACGCAAAGGTGTGAACCAGGCCTGCCTCACATCCTAGCAATGTCTCAGCAGTCTTCCCTCCATGCCACTTCCTCTACCAAAGAGCAGAAAGAATCCAGACAAGGACATTGATTTGTAGAATTAAGGGATCTAAGCGAAGAAAAGTGTGGTCTCTTTGAACATACTTTCTTTTCCAAGGCCAGAGAGGCAAGAGAGCCCAGGAGAAGGTACAGCCCTCTCCTCTTCTGCTCTCTTTTGAGCCTCTCCCTCCTGCTGGCAGACATGGCCCAGGGCCCAGGGTGCAAGACCTGAGAGGGCTGGACAGATGTGGAGACTAGGAGAATGGCTCCTGCCTAGACCCAGAGACAAGCACATGGCTTCTTCTCTCTGGTACATGGGTCTTCTTGTTGACAGGACCAGCTTTCCCTTACTACTAAAGAGGCAAGCCTGGAGGGCTAAGATTAAGGCTGAGGAGACCGCATGATAAAAGCCATGGAACTGTTTTGGATGTCAGTCCTGTACTGCTGGTGAATAGGCTGAAGGGCTCTCCTGGGTGAAGCCCAGCTCTCTCGCCCTGGGGATTACACAAATGTTGGGCTGTAAGCCCACAGTATTAGAGAGCGTATAAAGGTCAGACCATATTCTCTGTGCTTGGTTTGCCCTTGGCTTTGTAGGGAGGGGCTTCTGGAGCAGGTCAGGATAGGGTGTTGGGATCCTGGATTCCTCCAATACTACACAACATCCCTGATATGGTTTGGATCTGTATCTCCACCAAAATCTCACGTTGAATTGTAATCCCCTATGTTGGAGGTGGAGCCTGGTGGGAGGTGATTGGATCATGGGGGTGGACACTTCATGAATGATTTAGCACCATCTTCATGGTGCTGTTCTTGTGATAGTGAGCGAGGTTTTGTTGAAAATTGTGAAGAACCTCCCCCTTCACTCTCTCTTGCTCTTGCTCCTGCCATGCGATGTATCTGCTTCACCTTTGCTTTCCACCATTATTGTAAGTTTTCTAAGGCCTCTCCAGAAGCCAAACAGACTCCAACTTCATGCTTTCTGTACAGCCTGCAGAACCATGAGCCAATTAAACCTTTTTTTTTTCTTTTTTTACAATTACCTAGTCTTAGGTAATTTATTTTTATTTTTATTTTTATTTTTGAGACAAGGTCTGACTCTATTGTCCAGGCTAGAGTGCAGTGGTGCCACCTTGGCTCACTGTAACCTCCATCTCCTGGGCTCAAGCCTCCTCCCACCTCAGCTTCCCAAGTAGCTGGGACTACAGGTGTGCACCACCATGCCTGGCTAATTTTTTTTTTTTTTTTTTTTTTTTTTTTTTTGTAGAGACAGGATTTTGCCATGTTGCCCAGGCTGGTCTTGAACTCATGAACACAGGTAATCTGCCTGCCTCAACCTCCCAAAGTAATGGGATTACATCAGGCACTTCTTTACAGCAATGTGAGAACAGACCAATACAATTGCCACCACGTTAACTATATTTCCTGACCTTACCTTCCTGTTCCAAAGCTTACATTCCCTGTCTCAGACCTATCCCAGCCTCTGGTTCTGTTAGAGAACCCTGTCCCATTCATTATTGAGTATTCGCTTTGGTTCTAAGTACTTTATGAGCATTATCCCATCTAATCATCAAATGACATGAGGGAGGGAGCAAATGTTATTATTCCCATTACACAGATGAGGAAATTGTGGCTCAGAGAGGTAAAGTGATTTGTCTACTATCACATAGCTGGGAAATGGCAGAACTAGAATGTGAACTCAAATCTGTCTGAACTAAAAACCTGTGCTGTTTCTAATATGTCACATATGTACACAACAGAGCTTTATAAACTACAGAGAGATTTTGAGATGTGAGTCAAAAACGAAACCCCTAGTGACTGGCATTTCCTGATAAATGGTATTCACAGTGAGGTCCCAGAAATGTTACAAAATCTAGTCATTCTAAAATGCCAAACAGATGAGGTATTATTGTGGGAAGTATATACGAGCACTCCTGCCCTTATAAAAGCAGTTAATTCCTGAAGGCCACAAAAAGTCAGGCTCAGTAAAAATCTCTATTATATATTAGACAAGATAATCAGGTCTCTTCCATCCTAGATTATCGCTGCTTGACAGACAGGGCAGAAGTTCACCAACACATTTGGAGGTAGCCCCTTTCCTATCTCCCCCTGTCAGATCTGTTGCTGGATTCCATGGACAGTATGGCTCCTGGAAAATACCTCCTGGGCATGAAAGCATAGGACTATCCAGGTAGCTTGTCAGGCTTTTCAATGGCTGACCATATCAGCTGCAGCCCATGCCACCTTCCTGTAGATTAGCCAAAGGGGATAGAAGAGCCTATGTCCAAGGCTGCCCTCACCAATGTCCACACCCCAAGGGTGGCTACAGGATAGGCATACGCAACGAGGCTTCTGTTGAACAAATTAAGTGGACCTGGCTGCCAGGATGATGGAGGGGTTCTCATTGTCCAAACAGAGGTGGTCCGTATAGATCCAAGACCAAGAGGTTCCACACAGCATTGGCGTCATTGGCAGATTCATTACCGGAAGCCTCATGGGGCATTTAATCTCCTAAGTATTTCAGGGGGTGGTGAGCACTTCAAAACCTAATTCATCTTCTTTGTCTTCATTACAGAGAGCCCTCTGATCACCTTAATCCTCCTGCTGCCACAGGAAAGAGCCATTTGTTTCTTTAATGGGTGCACTTTCACTAGCTAAGTGGTTGTTCTGAGCCAGGGCAGAAGGTGAAGCCATCCTGAGGACAGTGGGGGACGTGCCTGGCTCAGACAGTGGAGTAACATGAAAAGGTGCTGACTCCAGGTACAGAAAGAACTATCTGCTGGCAGCATGACCACATTCTCTCCCCACCCTGATCTCCTTTTCATAGGACTCAGTGAGGCTTCAAGAGGGGGCAAGTCATTCCTTGTGATAAGAAGGGGACTTCTACACATAGAGACACAGGACATCCAAGATGGAAGAAGTCATGCCCATTTTGCAGATGAGGGAACTCCTCTCTGGAGGTTCCCATTCAATGCTGTGTGCCACACATTCAAAGGCCAATTGTAATAACATTAACAGTGGCTTCCATGATTTAATAGCTTCTATGTGCCAGAGTCTGTACCAAGAGCTTATATTTATTAATTTATTTAATTCTTATTTCAACTTTGTAAAATATGTATTATTTGTTTCCATTTTACAAATTAAGAAAGTGAGACTCAGAGTGAATTGCCCAAGGTGACATGATTATTAATAGCAAAAAAGCTTCAAACTCAGGTTGTCTGAATCTAGAATTCCTTGTCTTATTGCCTCACTACTGGATCTTGTATGAAATGACTAGAGTCAGCCACAGGAGAGGCACTTGAAGGTGAAGGCACCTAAAATTATGTCAGGTAGATGAGAGACCCAGCAACTGGAGGTATCTATCTGAAGAGAACAAGAGCATGAGTAAGGCAGATCACAAAGGGTGGGCCCTCCTGTCTCCCTCCCGACTCCCAAAGGTAGACATGGGGCATGTCTCCCTCAGGAGTCAATCAGGCCAATAGTCAACCAGGGTACCACCACTCTATCTGTTACTGTCACACCTTGTCTCTATGGGGACTTCTCCAACTCTTAGAAGTAATAAGATTAGACTGGAAAGGAAGTCTGGAATCATACATATCATACATAGTTTGGAGGGCCAAGTTGAGGATTTTGGATAATTCACTACTCATGCTCTTCTTTGGAGCATCAGGTTTAAAAAGTAATAATATTCACCATTTATGAAGAACTCAGTAGGGGCTAAGCCTTATATCAGGTCCTTGCATATCTTATTACACTCACCCTCACAAGAACCCTGCAATGTAAACATTAATGTCCCAATTAATAGATGTGAAAATCCAACAACCAGGAGCCTTTGACTTGCTCAATGTCACTCAGTTGATAAATGGCCCAGGCAGGACCAACATTCAGTCTGTGGTTCAACAGCAGCACCACCTCCTTTCTTCAAAGATAACAGCAGATGAGAGTCAAAGATCAAGGTCTAAGTCAGGATTTAAATTTAATCCTCATTTAAATGCTAGCTAGCTGCCTGCCAACCATTTAATTTTGGGGACATCCTCTTGAGCCAAAATATTCTTATCTATAAAATGGGGCAAATATCACCAGTGTCACAGTATTTTTAGAACCCTCATATACAAATGCTTAGATACTAGAAAATTCTCTCCGAACAGGAGCTTTTATGGTCAGCTGCCCTTTCACAGGCGATTCTAAGGATAAGAAATAACTGACAAAGTTCGGGGAACTTCACCAAAGGCACCAGCTCTACACTAGAGGCCTTTAAAAATCCTAGGGAAATACAGAACATGGATCATGCCCTCAGAGGAAGAAAATCACATGAAATAATTAAGAGGAATAAATGTTATTAGATAAGTCAACACTGCATTGTGAGAAATGAATTCTAAGAAAAGGAGGCAATTCCAGAGAGCCAAAACCATCAGGGAAGGCCTTCCTGGAGCTGCTGGCATGGAACAGAAACCAAAGCAGCTTCAGTTAAGAGATAAGGCTGGAAGAGGTGATGTTGTGGGGGCTAAAATGCAGACAGGGATAAGCTGAGTTGAGGATGAGAGGATCATGTAACTTAGAGCTCAGGTACTGGGAGGAATTTACAGAGACCACCTAATCTACCACCCCTACTGCTTGGTAGTGATGTGGGAGGCCAAGTGTGGCCAGAGGTGAAATGGGATAAAATTCTAGAACATCAGAGTTCAAAGAGCCTTTAAAATACCCCCATTCTATGTCTAAGAACACTTTTAGTAGTAAAACCCCTTTTCTACCAAAGAAAACCTTTCATGGAGCTCAAATATACAAAGAAAATTATGACTGATGTGGAGGCTGAGGCCCCAAATGAAGGTTCTGCTCCAAGCCCCTGTTTCTCATGGAGGTAAAGAGGGAAGCAGTTCACTATAGGGTTCAGTGTCAGATGGTCACCAACATGACCAGACACAGACCTTCAGAGGATGTCTAGGCACCTTCTGCGGGTCTTTCTGTCTCCAAGAACAGGCAATCTGAACAGAGATTGAGGAAGGCCCTATAGTGGCTGGGATGGAGAAAGCAGGTAGGAGATCTCATAAAGAGGTTTCAAGGTCAATGAGAGACATGGAAAACATATTCCTTTACCTTCCTGCAGCATGTAAAACTCATAATGGGATGGGTAAAGGGGGTAGGAGGTCTCATAAGAGGCTTCAAAATCAATGAGAAATGTGGAGAATATTTACCTTCCTATAGCATGCAAAACTAACAGTACCCCCATTCTCTCTCCCCTGCCTCAGAAACTAAGCGCTGGCCTCCTAACCTCTGTATCCATGGCCATGGGCCCTGGGCTCAGTGCCTTCTGGGCATCTTACCTGGTCCCGAGTATAAGGCGTGTCCACTCTCTGCTTGTCACTGCAGGCTTCCAGGAGGACACGGATGGCGTTCAGCTGCAGGAGCATCTCGCAGGCCATTGTATCAAAGAACGTGATGTTGGCAAGGGCCGCAGAGGCCAGCAGGAAGACTTCCCCTGATGAGGCCTCTTGGCACAGTTCTGGATGGCAACGAGAAAGAAAATAACTTCCGTGCCAAGTGTTTTCATATCAGTTTTCTCATTTGGTTCCCACAGTAGCTCTGGGAGATCTTTTGAGCAGGTGTTATAATAGCCATTTTACAGATGAGGAAAGTGGCTACTACGAGGGAACAGTATCTGTCTACACAGGTGGCAAATGGGATTTGAAACCTGGTATGTAACTCTACTCACTCCTTCATCCAATAAGTATTTATTGAATGAAAACTATGTGTCAGGCACCACTGGGGTCTTGGGATGGCATAGTGAACAAAACAGGTCAGGTCCTTGCCCTTGTTGAGCTCACACTCTACTAGTGGGCAAGAGAAAATAAACTTTAAAAAAATTACTATACATAATTACAAAGTCTGATAAACACGAGGGAGAAAATAAACAAGTGCTAAGAGAGGATAACTAGCGGTCTGCTGAGGTGTGCAACAAAAGGTGTCCCTAAGAATGTGACTTTACAGCTGAGACCTTAAGGGAAGAAATGGGCCAGTCATAAAAATACTTGGGGAAACAGAATATTCTAGACCAAAGGAAAAAGAGATATAAAGCCTGTGAGTCGGAAAGGAGCTCCCAGTCCATTTGTGTCTCCGGTAATGCACACTAGCCTGCTGCTAAGCTTGCCTTAAGGAAGAGACTAAAGGTGAAAGAGAGAGACTATACCCCTCCAGCTGCCATCAACAGAGCTTCGGTGCTTTCTTTCAGTCCCAGGATAAGGGTCATCTGGCAGCAAGAAAGTCCTATACCAAGTTTCTGAATGTCAGGCTCTTTATCTCTAATCCTGGTGGTCCTAGCTTAGCCCTACCAAATTCCCCCATTTACCATCTGTAATTGTACTAAGGGCCTTTAAGGAGCAGAGTGACCTCATCCTTCCATCACCTGACACATCCCCCATGGGCTCCACAGAACCTGGAATGGACGCCCACCAAAGGAGGAGGCATAGATGGGCTCTATCCATGGTGCTTCCCCCATTTCAGTGGACCTGATGTCTGGCCCTCAGCTCCAACTTGACTACCAATAAAGGTACTTCTCCAGTCCAGTCCCTCTCCTACTGATAACACCTCTACAAAACCACAGGAGGCAAGGCCATACTTCAGAAAAAGAGTCCCAGGAGAGAAAGAAAGTTCGGGAGACAAAATTGAGCTATCTTCTATCCTGGTCCCTAGTTCTTGCCTCCAGACAGTCTATACTTCCAGGTTCTGATGCAACTGCCACCTCTTGGCACCTACCTGTGAATGCACATTCTGATCCCTACCTTTTAGTTTTAGTAGTAAAACCCTTTTTCTACCAATAACATTAGTCTAACACCTGCAGTGGGCCTTGCACTGTGCTATTAAATTCTGAATACCCTCAAATTAGAAAATGATTGTCCACATTTACAACTAGCTGAATCTTAGAGAAGCTAGTAGTAGCAGCAGCTACCATTTATTGAGTGTTACTCACTGCTGTACATATTTTTTACTTCATTACATCATTTAATCCTTACAACAATCCCATTTTTATCACTATTTTGTAAATAAAGAAATTGAGGATTGAATGTTAAGTCATTTGCCCCTGGTCTTATGGCCAGTAAGTAACTCTTTGAGGTTAGAATCAAATCCAGGTCTGCCTGACTCCGAAGACCCCATTCTTTCTACACTCCAAGTTGCATCTGGTCTCTCAGCCTATTTGACTCATTCCCAGCAATGCTTCCACAGACGTGCATTTTGGTTCTATCAGGAAGGTAATGCCTCCCTCTGGGCAATGTTCCTCCCCACAGCCCAGGTTTGACCATTAGATAATTCAAACTCTTGATCCAACCACCCAGGACTGGAACAACAGATTAGCCAAGGTATTAAGAACTCTGATTCCCTTTATCCAATGATTGCCCTATCCTCTGATTTTGGGGAAATCACTGGAGTCCCCAGCCCCTTCCAGGCCACCTCCCTACATCCAAGGTTTTGGGTGAGTCTACAGAGCTCATCAGCCCACTTTGCTGTAAGATTCCTTCTAGGTCCTAACACTCCCCCTCATTCTCATTCAGTTGCTATTGCTGCTGACACAGCAATTATTAACACAACCAACTAAGTGCCTTTTAATTTTGCTGCACATTTATTTGAACTGCAGTCTGAGTCACCTGGGATGTGTTAGGAAGATTAAATTGAGGATTCCAGTGACTCGTTTATAAATGTTTCCAGGGAATGGCAAGAAGTTGGAGGGCTATTTCCCACCGAAGAACAGAGCTCTGGCTTCCTGCCCAGAAGATATCTGCTGAATCTCAGAGTGGACTATACAATGCATCTTCATCAGGATGAAATAAATAGGAAGATTCCTTGGCTCCAGGAAGAAACCTAGCCTGGGCAGTGAAGCAGGAATGAATATATGACAATAGTGAAAGGTCACTTTGAATATATGTACTTTCATTTATTTGATAATGTTTATAAATTGAGAAATTTTCTATGAAGTTTACAATTTTTGTCTTATCTTTAAAAGTCTATGTCTTTCCTACATGGTAACAATCAACTGAAATTTACCAGTGACCACCCCTTTAGACAGTGCATGGACTTTTCAATTTGACACAGGACTCAAACACCTTTATTCTTCCACCTGGCTCTCTTCAACTCATTTACGTTTCTTACCAGGCTCTGGTGGATGTTGAATATGAGACTCCTGGCATAAGTGAGTCCTGGTGCTGTTGTGTGGCCTTGAGAAAGTAACTTAACCCCTCTAGGCTTAGATTTCTTCACCCAGAGAGTATGCTTGGAACTGTAGGGTCTCTTGAGCTCCCCCGAGCCAAGACTTTCAACAATGGGCTTCTATGTTTTCTCAATTTTGAATAAATGTGGACATTGGCAAATTGATCCTCCCAGCCTGACCTGTGAGTACCACTGCCCCCATGACTAGAATCAGCCATAAAGTCAACTTAACTGATGTCTCCTATGTGCAAAGTACTTGCAGATCTCCAAATTCTGGAGTTAGAAGGACCCTTGAGAGAAACGAGTTGCAATGTCTTGTTTATATTAGGAAAACTGTGAAGTGGGTTTTACAACGTGACATGGTAAGAAATGAGTGGCGGGATCTCACACAGCACTGCCACAGGCTTGCTGCACATAGCCACTTGAATGGATAAGTGAAAAGCCTGAGTCCAAACCCAGGGTTCTGACTCCTAGCCCAATGTTCTGTGTTGCCCCTAAGTTCGTGCTATTTCAGATATTTCCAGCCCTGACATGGTCACTCCAAGAGCTAATCCTAAATTTTCTGATGAAATTAAATTTCGTTTTATTTCAATTAGATATAAATATAAAGAGAGTGACAGAGAAATAGAAACACAGATCACTACTAGCACTAGCACTTTTAAAAGAAAGAGGTGGGTCACAAAAAATTCCCTGGGGATTGTTATCCAGACTGGCCCTTTCATTTTCTATAATTTAGCAAAGGAAAACTAAGAAAAGAGCATATTTCAGATACGGATCTATGATTCTCCTGCCAGGGATACATATGTTTGAATAGGGGAACCTAGAGGAGTCAATGCTTTCAAGGCCCCATGATGTGAGACCAATGGTGGGATTTTCAGGCAGCAGGTTGTGGTGGGCTGGTGCTCTCTGAGAAACCATTTTCCCCAGTCATTACTCTCATAGTCACTGGGTACAAGGACTGCGACTTTAGGAAAAATGCCTATCAGAGTCTCTCAATCTGAGTATCTGAACCTCAAAATTTGAGGCACCACTCCTTTCTAGGGCTTGTCCTGGACTCCCTTCTGAAAGGCCATTGAATCCCAAACTGACAATAATTCAGGTTGCTTCTCAGAGGGCCACACACATTTTAATAGGAAACTCTTGACAACAGGGCTCATCAAAGCCTAATTCAGATCCATTAATGGTGGGATTTCAGCAAATGTGATCATCTATGCAGGAGATATTTGGGGTGCAATGAGTGGCAGATGGGAAGGCCTTCCTGGCTATTCCTGAAGACAACTGTGCCAAGGCCCTCTCTCCTAGTGGTCCCACTGCCCAGGGTGACTCACTGACGAGGGCTGTCACGATCTCCTCCATGCTCTCCATGAAGCTACTGAGGTGCTGGGTGATGGGCAGGTGTGGGGAGGTGACCTGGGCCACCACAGCCGCAGCCTCAGCCCGTGTGGCCTCTGAGTGGCTGTCGTCAGTCAGGATGTCGGCCAAGCACAGAACGCCATCCACCTGCAGATGGAGAGAGGGAGCTCCCCTGTGCATCCTGGGTGAACACCACTGCCCATGACATTAATGAGACAGATTCAGCACCCCCTACATGGAAGCCAGCTCTGGCTTCCCAGAACAGCCCAGGGCCCCATGTGGAGCCAGGGACAATCCAGTGAAAAGGCCCTCAGAATGACTCAAATTCTGGCACCTGGAGGCCTCTCCTTTGAGTCCAGTGGAGATCAGTAACCTTCCATGGGCCTCCTAGAGAGCAGACAGCAAGTCAAGTGTCCAGAGGCAGGACCCTGGTCATCAACCACAGCAAATTGTCATAAAAGAATAGTCACTTAGAAATCTCACATCCCTGACCTCTAATCCTGGACCCCTCTTCCTTGCTATGCGACTTGGCGTTAGTCACTTAGTCTCTCTGAGATTCTGTTTCATCACCCTTCAACAGGGTGTTGTGGGATTGAAGAGATAAAGCAGGCAATGCCTGATCTAGAAGAGATGCTCAAGAAATGTTGGTTTCTTCCTCATATTTAGCACAGGATGAGCTTAGTATTTCCTTCCCCATCTTGTCCTCCACCATCCTCCCTGATAGAAATGGGGCTGCTTCCCTGGAGGCCTTGCTTTCTGTGCCCAACTAGTAAGGAGCAAACCTGAAACTGGTGGGACATTAGTGCCAGATAAGAACATGTTTCCAAGCTCTGCCTGGATCAGACCTGCTTTTGGCATGATAACAGCTTCTGCTGAGCATGTGCTTACAGTGTGCTAGGCACCATTCTATAGAGTGCACATGTTATTATACAATCTATTCCTTACAATAACCCTCTGAGGTCAGTATTATTATCCCCATTTTACAGACGAGAAAGCTGAGGCACAGAAAGGTTCATTGACTTGCCCCAGATCAAGAACTTTAAAAGCAGTTAAACTGGTTGGGCATTCAAACTCAAATGGTCCTGGTGTCAAAACCTAGATTTTGAACAGGATATTATGCTGCCTCCTAAGAAGTGGCATCTGAGCTCAGACCTCAGCCTCCATCAGGGTCAGTACACAAAACTTGCTGGAGAAAAAGAGGGCAGGAGCTTGTCAAGATTAGCTCTGCAGTGCTACTGCAGCCCCTCAAATGCCCTGGGCACCAGCCTGCCTGGGGACCCTGCCACCAAGCACCAAGTCCTTCTCAGTTTGGGAGTGGGAGGTAGGGATGAGGCAGGGGAAGAACAGGAGAGGTAGGGTGAGGAGCAGCCCGTGCTCATTCCCTACACCTGCCACAGACCTGAGGCTTCTGTCCCTATGTCTTCCTGCCACTCAGCTCCTGTGGCCTCCAGAGGTCTGCATTTCGTTTGACTAATTACCACCACTGAGTTCTGTGCCTCCCTTAAATGGCTCTTGGGAGCTGTAAGGTCCATTAGCTGTGAAAGCCTTTGGCAATCTCAGACTCAGAGGAGATAAATGTGGAAACAGGAGCCCAGGGAACTGTCCGCAATAAAACTCACCTGGATGTGCTTAATAAAAGGGAACAAACAGCAGCCATGTGGTCCCTGGCAGAACTGGACTCATGCCAGGTGTTTAACTAACAGGCCTTCAGAGAGGGGCGTTGTTTGGGCCTAGAAAAGGGAAGGGAAGCAGGGGCTAGAAGCAGGAAGCAGCCCTATTGCCATCATAAGAAACCTCTTACCCCATCTGGCCTTCATCCCTTTCATCCTTCCAGCACAGATCAAGCTCGTTGCTAAGAAGTTACAGGATCATTAGTGGAGAAATGTCTCTAACAATCCCGTTTCCTTAATCTCAACGTGGTTGCAGATGCTATCCTGGTTCCCAGCTCAGATGTGAATACCAGTCGGACCCAAACCAGTAACTTGCCCTAATCCCCAACACATGCTTGGAGATAGGTCAATCTGAACATACCGGAGAGGCCAAAGAGTTGATGGTCCCCAGGGTCTGCTGCCACCCAAGGCCTGGCTGCCAGGCCTGCTCCCTAGTCCAGACTGCTGCTCTGAAACCCCACTGAATAAAACATCCCTGACATATACTGCATGCCAAGCCTTGTGCTGGGAACAGTGTCCACTGCAGTGGGGGAGGTGATTCACACCTACAAATTACAAATGAAGATGCTCTACAGAGGGGCCTCCTGGAGGTTACCCTGACTTAATGTCCATGCCTCAGGTGGGAGACGTGGCCCACTTTGGGGCTCCCATGCCCAAGTACCTTTGCTATCATTGTCACATTTATCACACCAACAGGCCCTGTTTCTCCAAGTGAGGTCTGTGGACCAGCTGCATCAAATTCAGTGCGAGTTTCCTAAGAACAAGTTCCTGTACCCCACCCAGACCTATTCCACCAGAATCGCCAGGGAGGCTTGAGAATCTGCTTTTTAACAGCTCCACAGCTGACTTTTATGTGCCAGCAATTCGGAAGAGCACTAATACTGTGTGATTCTCTGCTCCTTTGTCTGTCTCCTCCCCTGTTCCCCTGCCATCTCTGCAAGCCTGGGGACCACAACTTGTTAACTCCTGGCTGCTCCAGGTCTGGCATGTAGTAGGCCTTTAGTAAGCGGGAAATAAATACAATAAAGTAAAATTCGACCTAATACTTAAGGACACACTTTAGACAAGTAAAGCTAAAGGAATGGCATTGTAGATGGAGGAGCTATTGTAAGTAAAGGCAATTATAGGAAAAGATACCATTGGAGAAACAGCCAACATGAGAACTTAAATCAATTATTGACCCCAGGAAAGTGACCCCGTCCTGATGTAGACCCCAATTCCTTCACTGTGCTTTGGTTTCCAGAGGATCTATGGAGTTGTCTATACAATTGCCAATTGCCCATTGTCTTGCTTCCCTTTTATTTTGTTTTATACACTTCAGATCTCTTTTGGTAACATTAATTATCCCTTTGAAAGGGAAATATATATATATATATGTACATATTATATATATATAGAGAGAGAGAATAAGTTTTAACAAATAATAAAATGAACACCTGTAGGTGTAGATGTATATGCCTAATATCCAGAAATTCTAGTCTTAGAAATAAAATCAAGAAGTCCCCTGCATACCTTTCATGATGTCATACCTCTGATTTCTCCTGCTGGATGGACCATTACTCTGAGTTTTATGCATATTATTCCCTTGTTTTCCTCAGAGGTTTATTGCATGTATCCACTGTTAGTTTTATAAGATTTGTACTTGACATAAATGGAATGTTGAATATAGCAATTTACTTTTCTCTCCAGTCAGTATTTATGAAACCTCTTTTTTTTGTTGCATGTAGCTATGATCAATTTATTCTCACTGTTGTATGGTATTTCATTATATAAATCAATTTCAATTCATTTATGCATTCTCCCGTTGATGGGTGTCTGAGTGGCTTCCCAGTTTTTGCTATAATGGACAGTGCTGCTATAAATATTCTTCTAAATGTCTTCTGGTGAACATGTGCCAGTTTCTTCAGAGATCCCAATCTAGGAGTGGAATTCCTAGGGCATAGTGTTTCCACATCTTTAGCTTTATTGGTATTGCCAAAGTGTTTTGCAACATGATAGTAGTAATTTTTATTCCCACCAGTAATACGTAATCACACTTACACCAGATTCTTGCCAATACTTGCTATTGGCAGATTTTAAAATTTTTTCAATTTTATGGCTATAAAAATTGTATTTTAACCTGCATGTCTCCACTTCCTAATGAGGTGGAAAGACTTTTAATATCATTATTTTGCTTTGATTTGGTTTGTTTTGGCTTTTGTTTTTTGCAAGTTGGATCTCCTCTACTATGAATTGCCTGTTTACTGTCTTTTCATAGGGGCCAAATTTTAATAGCGTTTGGTTTGGATGCAGCTGACCGGCCACTTGGTCTGCTGCCAGCAAGTTGATCTTCATATTCATCACCATCTCAGCAGCTCTTGCACAGCCCAGCTCACCATAGTAGGAGTCCACTCAAGTGCCCCACACCACTGGGTTCTGGGCTCCCAGCACCTGAGGCAATCCCTGTAGCATCAGAACATGCACAGACATTAGAGTTAGGCCTACCCAGGTCTGAATCCTGCCTCTATCCTTTACTAGCTGAACAATTTTCTTACCTACTGATATAGTTTGGCTGTGTCCCCACCCAGATCTCACCTTGAACTGTAGTTCCCATAATCCCCACATGTCATGAGAGGGGCCTGGTGGGAGGAAATTGAGTCATGCTGTTCTTGTGATAGTGAGTGAGTTCTCACGAGATCTGATGATTTTATAAGGGGCTTCCCCTCACCCACCCCCGCTTTGCTCTGCACTTCTCCTTGCTGCTGCCATATGAAGAAGGATGTATGTGTTTCCCCTTCCACCATAGTTGTAAGTTTCCTGAGACCTCCCCAGTCCTGTGGAACTGAGAGTCAATTAAGCCTCTTTCCGTTATAAATTACCCAGTCTTGGGTATATCCTTACAGCAATGTGAGAACAGACTAATACACCTACTTTGAGCTTTTATCTGTAAAACAGGAATAATACCAATCTCACAGGTTTTTTTCTCCTTAAAAAATATGGCTAAAAGTAACAACTTCAGAGGACCATTGGAATTATTAAATGAGAGAATGCATGTATAGTGCCTGCCACATGGTGGCACCATCATTCCCTCCCCTCCCCACCTGATGGCTCCTTGACTTGGGGCCCTGAATCCTAGGTTCATCCCACTTCTGCCTGTCCCAGCCTCCTGACAGGGCTTCTCTCCAGAACTCCTTTCTGCACACTCTTTTGGGACTGAGACCACAGCAAGAACTTCAGCTCTTTGGATTGGGGCCCAAAGTTTAACCACTTGTTTAGACATCCTTCAGTCATGCAGCACAGAACCAGGACTTTTAAAATGGGAGTGATTTCTGTTTGGATTACTGACTAGGAACAATGCAATGAACAATTGCAACTCCTCAGAAGGGAATAAAGAGAAAGTCAGTACTATCCCTGCATTTCTATAGTTCAATAAACATTTCCTGAGCACCTACATTGTGATAGGTGCTGACCTGGACAGTGACACAGAGATGAGGCAGA